TAGCAGGGTGAGTACTTATCTAATCAAAGTATATTAGTGTTTTATTTTTCATTAATCAAAACAAAAATGTACATCTTTCTTCCACTTTGACATTAGAGTATTTTGTGTAGATCGTTGACAAAAAATGATAATTTAATCCCACTTTGTAACATAATAAAATGTGAGGAAATCCAAGGGGGTGAATACGTATGATAGGCACTGCATCTCTTCTAATTCCTCCCCAGTTCCCTCTTTTCATAACACCAAATGTTTTGAAAGCAAGGTGTTGTTGACAGCAATCTGTGGTTGTGCTTACACAAATGTCAGAAGTCAACTAATGTTATAACATTACATAAAGTTTGTGGCAATATTTATGCTAGAAATGATGATACAGTACATGGTTCATACAGTATAGTTCATGACCTTTGTCGTTTGGCTAAATCATTGCTTCTCTTCTGGATAAAGAGCAAAGAAAGATGTTCTACAGGTCCAGTCCACACAAACCTATTCTTTGTCATCTTGTATTTCTGAAAAGGAGATGAAAGATGCACTCAATTTTTCACTGCAGTCTGATTTATCACACTGCTTTATTTAACTATTGTCTTTAATAAAATGATACTAAAACGCTGCTGAAGTTAAACAATCAAATAAATCACACAGCAAAGACCAATAGGCTGCGTTTACACAGGCAATGCAATTAGGATGTTTTTTCCACTAATTGTTATTTTGACCGATCACATCAGATCTTTTCACATCAGCTCATTACCAGAGCTGATCTGATTGGTCAAAAGACCCATTAATGAGAAATAAAACATACAGAATTGGGCTGTCCCTGTGAACACAGCCTTAGAATGTGAGACTTTAATTTCTTTCTCCAAGCTTCACATTTTCCATTACTAGCACCTTACTCAATAGTGCGTGTTCTTTACCAGTAATTGTATCTTTATCTACCACCATCATCAATGTGTGGAATGATAGTGTTCAAGTTCAAATAAATAAGAAGAGGCTTGTGGGGAAATTGGTTTGTGAGTTCAGATAGGCTATGTTTTTATCAGATCTTAGTCTGGATTGCGCATACACACTGCTGGCATCTATCTGCCACAACCACCTCTTTTTCTCTCTTTCTATGTTTTCGATTTCCACCGGTGTTGCCTTGTAACAGAGCTGTTTGAAATAGCTGCCTCGTTGCCATGGTAAAGCAAATGCCTGGGTGTAATATTTAGGCAGCTGGAAATAGAGCTGCTCTGTCAATTTATACCCTGCGAGAGTTATTGTACGTCTGACTGCTATACAATAGTGTGATTAATGTGTGATTTGTATGATTGGTATTCTAAAAATACTCTTTATGTTACGCAATGATATCAACAATTTAATTGGTATTCCGTCAATCTGGAGATGAGGAAGAAATGCATTTAGGAACTAATTAGATAGACGAACTAAACTAGAATGCATTAAGTCAGGTAACCTCACACATTAGTGTGTACACATTTGAAGCAATGTAGTAGCATGATTTCAAAGCAGCACTGGACCTGTTCTTTCTGGGGTCCACACAAAACATAATATATGACATAATACAGAACATTAATAGACAAGAACAGCTCAAGGACCGAACTACATAAATGTAAAATAAGAATACACGCATACATACATATCAGTACATATACAGTACACAGCATATACCAAACATTAGGAACACCTTCTTAATATTGAGTTGCATTCCCCCCTTTTGCCCTCAGAACAGCCTCAATTCATCGGGGCATGGACTCTATAAGGTGTCGAACGCGTTCCACAGGGATGCTGGCCCATGTTGACTTCAATGCTCCCCACAGTTGTGTCAAGTTGGCTAGATGTCCATTGGGTGGTGGAACATTCTTGATACACATGGGAAACTGTTGAGCGTGAAAAACCCAGCAGCGTTACAGTTCTTGACACAAACTGCTGCCTCTGGCACCTACTACCATACCCCATTCAAAGGCACTTAAATTTGTCTTCACCCTCTGAATGGCACACATACACAATCCATGTCTCAATTGTCTCAAGACTTAAAAAATATTATTTAACCGGTCTCCTCCCCTTCTTAATGTTTTGTATACTCAGTGTACATACAGTAGGTCTGCAAGTTATCTAGGTCAAAAACGGGAGAGGCATTGTGCTTTGAGGTGCTGTTTTATTGGTTTTTAAAGCAAATGTTGCGGTTTGCTTGAGTGATTTGAGATGGCAGGGAGTTCCATGCGATTATGGCTCTATATAATACTGTGTGTTGCTTTGAATTTGTTTTGGACTCGGGGACTATGAAGAGACCCCTGATAGAATATAGAAAATGTATCGGGGCAGGTCGAGAGCTTCAAGTTCCTCGGTGTCCAAATCACTAAAGACTTAAAATGGTCCAAACACACGCGCACAGTCGTAAGCGCCTCTTCCCCCTCAGGAGGTTGGAAAAGTTTAGCATGGGCCCTCAAATCCTCAAAAAGTTATACAGCTGTACAATTGAGAGCATTTTGACTCACTCCATCGCTGCCTGGTATGGCAATAGCACCGCCCTCGCTCGCATGGCGCTACAGAGGGTGGTGTGGACAGCCCAGTACATCACTGGGGCTGAGCTCCCTGCCATGCAGGACCTCTATATTAGGCAGTGTGGGAGGAAGCCCGTAAAATCGTTAGACTCCAACCACCCAAGCCATAGATTATTCTCTCTGCTTCCGCACGGCACCGATGCATCAAGTCTGGCACCAACAGGCTCTTGAACAGCTTCTATCCCCAAGCAATAAGACTGATAAATAGCTAACTAAATAGCTGCACATCTGACTTAACCTTGTATCTTTATTGTCTCTATGCACACCCACAGGGCCCACCACAATCACACACACACTCACTCCATAATCTACTCACTCACACATACAGTGCATTCGGAAAGTATTCAGACCCCTTGACAAGCTCTGTCAGGTTCGATGGAGAGCGTCGCGTCGCTTCACAGCTATTTTCAGGTCGCTCCAGAGATGTTCGATCGGGTACAAGTCCGGGCTCTGGCTGGGCCACTCAAGGACATTCAGAAGCAACTCCTGCGTTGTCTTGGCTGTGTGCTTAGGGTCGTTGTCCTGTTGGAAGGTGAACCTTCACCCCAGTCTGAGGTCTTGAGTCCTTTGGAGCAGGTTTTCATCAAGGATCTCTCTGTACTTTGCTCCGTTCATCTTTGCCTCGATCCTGACTAGTCTCCCAGTCCCTGCTGCTGAAAAACATCCCCATAGCATGATGCTGCCACCACCATGCTTCACCGTAGAGATTGTGCCAGGTTTCCTCCAGATGTGACGATTGGCATTCAGGCCAAAGAGTTCAATCTTGGTTTCATCAGAACAGAGAATCTTTTTTCTCATGGTCTAAGAGTCTTTATGTGCCTTTTGGCAAACTCCAAGCGGGCTGTCAGGTGCCTTTTACTGAGGAGTGGCTTCCATCTGGCCACTCTACCATAACGGCCTGAATGGTGAAGTGCTGCAGAGATGGTTGTCCTTCTGGAAGGTTCTCCCATCTCCACAGAGGAACTCTGGAGTCTGTCAGAGTGACCATCAGGTTCTTTGTCACCTCCTTGACCAAGGCCCTTTTCCCTCGATTGCTCAGTTTGGCCGGGCGGCCAGCTCTTGGAAGAGTCTTGCTTTGTCCTTATTGGGTGTTGTGTGTAGATTGATGAGGGAAAAAACGAATGTAATCAATTTTAGAATAAGGCTGTAATGTAACAAAATGTGGAAAAGTGAAGGGGTCTGAATACTTTCCGAATGCACTGAATACTTTCCGAATGCACTGTAACATGCACATACATTTATACTGACTCTACACACACGCACACCCACTCACATACAAGCTGCTGCTACTCGTGTTTATCTTATATCCTGTTGGCAAGTCACCTTACCCCTATACATACAGTATCTACCTCCATCACTCCAGTATCCCTGAATGTTTTAAATATGGTATTGGAACGGAGCCTGTATATAGTATGTTTATTTACTTACTTATTGTGTTCTTCATATTTCTTCTTATTTCTCGTGTGTTTTTTTCTAGCATTACATTGTTATTGATTATTGCATTGCTGGGTTTTGAGTTTGCAAGAAAGGCATTTCACTGTACTTGTGTATATGACATTAAAACTTGAAACTTGAATGTCTTGTATCAATCAATCAATCACATTTATTTATACAGCCCTTTTTATATCAGCAGATGTCACAAAGTGATACAGAAACCCAGCCGAAAACCCCAAAGAGCAAGCAATGCAGAATGTAGAAGCACAGTTGCTATGTAAAACTCCCTAGAAAGGCTGGAACCTAGGAAGAAACCTAGAGAGGAACCAGGCTCTGAGGGGTGGCCAGTCCTCTTCTGGCTGTGTCCGGTGAAGATTACAAGAGTCAATGGCCATTAAGGCCAGATCATTCTTCAAGATGTTCAAACGTTCATAGATGACCAGCAGGGTCAAATAATAATCACGGTGGTTATAGAGGGTTCAACAGGTCAGCATCTCAGGAGTAAATGTCAGTCGGCTTTTCATAGCCGAGCATTCAGAGGTTGAGAGAGAGAGAGTCGAAACAGCAGGTCCGGGACAAGGTAGCACATCCAGTGAACAGGTCAGGGTTCCATAGCCGCAGGCAGAAACTGGAACAGCAGCACGACCAGGTGGACTTGGGACGGGGACAGCCAGGAGTCATCAGGCCAGGTAGTCCTGAGGCATGGTCGTAGGGCTCAGGTCCTCCGGAAGGGGAGAGAGAGATGGGAAAATTAGAGGGAGCATACTTAAGATCACACAGGACACCAGATAAGACATGAATTACATCAGATAGGACAGACTGACCCTAGCCCCCCGGCACATAGACTACTGAAGCATATATACTGGAGACTAAGACAGGGGTCTGTCAGAGCTGTATGTTAGTTGATTAAATAGACCATTTTAAATTTTCATCACATTCATATTTCTTTAAAAAAGAAGTGATGCAGTCAATCTCTCCAATTGATTGATTGACTCTGTTCTTTCCCCCTCCAGGGTGAATTTGGCGCTAGCCTACACAGAGCTAACTGAGGAGTTGGGACGTCTCCAGGCACTGAGCTCCAAACAGAAAGAGATCTTGAGGAAGGTCTCTCAGGAGCAGCATAGCCCAGGTTAGTAACATCTGTAGAGAATGATATATGGCCCACATTTAACAGGCTAGCCCAGGTTAGCAGCATCTGTAGAGAATGATATATGGCCCACATTTAACAGGCTAGCCCAGGTTAGCAGCATCCCTATATAAGTTTACATGCTCCCTATCCCTAATGATTGCTCTGATGTCAAGTACACTGAGTGTACAAAACATTAAGAACACTTTCCTAATATTGAGTGACACCCCCCCCCCCCCTTTTGCCCTCAGAACAGCCTCAATTCGTCGGGGCATGGACTCCACTGATTGAAGTGTATTTAACAAGTGACATCAATAAGGGATAATAGCTTTCATCTGGATTCACCTGGTCAGTCTATGTCATGGAAAGAGCAGGTGTTCTTAATGTTTTGTACACTCAGTGTATATTGTTATGCATTTTCTACTGAAATACTGGGGGGGGGGGGGATGAGTAAGCTTTACATGCACATCTTCAAATAAGCATTGTCATGCTCACCTTACAATACAATACTTGCTTTATTGGTCCATTTGCACAGATATTCTTAATTTCTTGCTGTCACAGTACCTGATACACAACACACACATCACAGGCTGGGAGCAGCACATGGGCTGCTGCAGAGCAACAGCCCTAGAGAAATTAGGGGTAAAGTAAAACGGAGGTAAATAGTATATGGGACATATACTATGGCTTACAGCTCACTCCCTGCAGATTTCCCCCCAGTCAGCTCGGGGATTCAAACCAGCAACCCTCCGGTTACCGGCCTGCCTCTCTAACCACATACTCAGCTCATACTCCGCCCTGTTTCAAGTTTAAAAAAATAGAGGAATGAACTAGACTATATTGGGATATAAGTAGGCCTGCAGCTGTTTCTTTACTCTCCTGGGGTTGCAGAGCTACAAATATAGTATATGTACTAAAATACCGTACTATTAAAAAACAAACAAATATGTCCTCTTCCTCGACTCTCTGTTTTCTCTGTATTTCAAGTCTCTGTGGAGAATTCGAGAGCACAACAACCCCCCTCTTTAAAAAAAAGATTTATTTCACTCAACCACAGAACCATACGTTTCCCCTTTGAGATGCTTCTGATTCATCGATGCACAAGTCTTGTTTTTAGCTAAATGGCTGATAGCTATCTCATGCTTACAGGAAGCACCACATACTGTACTGTAAAATTTGATCTGCGTCTTAGGTAAGCGGAAAATAAATCTATTCAAGGGTGTTCCTTTTTTGCATATTTTGTCGAGTGCGTCGCTTGTTGCGAATTGAGTTGTCTTTTGATCAGACAAACATTTGCACTGCAAATCCAGAGCAACACACAGTAGAGAGAAGTACAGAAATGTTATTCAGGAAAAAGTATGAAAGATTATACACTTTTTCTTCATCATTATCAAAAAGATATTACAGTATGTGTTATTGCTAGAGATGTTACCAGACCAAAACTCCTCCTGACCCTAGTTACTTTTCATATGTAATTATGAGTAACAACAGGCTCTATTTTGGCGAGATGCTATAATTTTGGTCTTCCAGAGACAGCCACAGGTAGTCTTGTCTCGTGTGCTGCTCTCTGACTCCCCCTGTGTCTCTCCTGTCTCCTCAGTCCAACGCCACTCCCACCCCCCATCTCCCATCCCTCACCAACGCCACTCTCCTGTGCCCCAGCGACACTCCCCCATTCCCCAACGCCACTCCCCCATCCCTCCTCAGCACCACTCCCCCATTGCTCAGTGCCGCTCCCCGGTGCTCCAGCCGCAGCGTCTCTCCCCGGACATGCACCGCCGCTCGCCCCTGCTGGACATCAACGACGGGCCTGCCTCCTACTCCTGCCGGCCAGCCAGCCACCACCTGAGGGCCAGCTTCCAGGGCCGACGGAGCTACTCCGAGGTGGCCGATCCCTCGGCCTACCAGCGGCCGCCGCGCTTCAGCCTGGACCCTGTGTCCACCCTGCCCAAGCCTCGGCCCTACAGGGACTCCGGCTACTCAAAGCAGCATCAGCAGCATGAGCATGGAGGCTCCCAGCATGGAGGGTCACCCCACAGAGGAGGCCAGCTGCGAGCTTCCCAGTCTGGGCTAGAGAGGGCAGGCAGCGAGGTGGGCCTCCACGAAAGTTCCCGCCACTCTCGAGAGCTGCCCTTCCCCCTGTCCGAGGTCTCTCCCAGGTCTCACCTGCACTTTGAGCCCCTGCCACCCCCCACGCCCGCCCCCCAGCTTCCGCAGTCCTCTGAAGACGAGGAGGAGTGGACCTGTCCGCACCCCATCAGCCCCCCACGGACACTGGGCGTGCCCAACAATGTGTCAGCTCATGGGGTCATGAGGGGGCTGGCGTCCTGCTCGGCCTTCCCCATCCCTTCCAGACCCAACACTCTGACCTGCCACCCGCCAGGTTACCTGCATGCAGAGCACGCCCAGTCCTGGCCCTCCATCAATGTGAGTCACACGCACACTCTATCCCAAATATACTGTATAATAATATCTTTATTATATCAAAACATTCTCTCAAATTGTAAAATGGGTCAGTTAGGTTGCTATCCCGATCAGTCAAAATCTCTCTCTTTGAAAATAAACTGCCCTTGACTTGCCAATGTCTTCCTGCACTGTGCTATTTCATGAGAAATGCTCTGTGTAACATGACATTTGTTCTGATTCCCCTCTACATATGAGCTTATTTTCTTCATGAAATTACCTAAATGGTCAAACTGTTATCATATAGTTGCCATAGACCCACACTGCTTGTTGACCTGAATGATGTGTGTGTTTTGGTTGCAGCTGTGGATGGAGACAGAAGAGAGTGACATGAGGAGCTGCCCTCTGTGCCAGCTGATCTTTCCCATGGGTTACCCTGACGACGCCCTCATCAAGCACATCGACTCGCACCTGGAGAACAGCAAGATATGATCGCCATGGCAACACTGCACCCTCTTTTTAGTTGCAACAATTTTTACTTACATTGTGGAGAAATTTTAGGTTTGGTTTTGTTTTAAAGCTGGGCGCCTTTTCTTTGACAAGACAAGATGGCTTATTGTGTGTTTAGTAGTCCATGTATGGGACTAGGTTTAGGGAATGGCTTCAATGTTCATGACAGACAATATCCTGAGGGTTTCAGGCAACTTGCAGTCCATTTGTTTTTATATCTTACACTTTACCACTACTACTTGCTGTAAAGCAGCCTGCTTTAGTTGCCTCTACCCGTGTACAGTATAAGGCTTGTGCAATACAGACCAACCACAATTAATTCCTGGAATTATCTGGGTGACCCGAATGGATAAATCCAGTTAGTTTGTTCTTCAGGGCTTGACGATGTGCGGTCAGAGGTCAGAGTTATGAAGAGAGGATAGCAGTGTTGTGACTGTGACTGATTGTGTGTAGGTAAGAATTTGTCCTGCAGGTTGGGGCATGTAGTTGCCGTGATGACCTTGCTGTAGTGAAGCGCATAGGCAGATTATCTTTATGCTTGCGGCCTGATCAGAAATCCATATCAATCTGAGCACATTAAGTTAACCTACAGTATATAAGCCTATAGTAGAGAATAATTTCCCCCCTATAATATTCATTTAACCCCCTAGAGTTGATGTCTGCGCCAAGCGAAAATCTATTTAGCAGAATACACAAATCCCCATAAAAATCTGTCAGTTTAAGCTAGAGATATCTGTTTTTTTACGATGTTGCACTTCCGCATCTGCAGTGAAAGGTGACAGAGCTAGAGCTGTGTTAGTCAGACCATGAGACATCCCGAAAATCGGTCTTCTTACAAAATCATCTGTTGCATCTGAACAGTTTTGCTCTACGACCCCCACAAGCATCTTGGGACTCGTCTGAAGTCGTTACAACTGATCTGCCAACTTCTGTCTGTAGCGTCCGAACAGTTTGGGCTACACACTAATATGACCCCTCTGTAGAAAGGTGAGACTGTCACGAACACGTCAGTTGAAGTTCTCCCGGTACCAATTGAAAAAAAATTGAAGTATATCTGGAGACTGTTTAATGCCAAAAATAAGGGGTTAAATACATGTAAAAAATAACAAATGTTTCCTGATCTTTCTTATATCTCTCAGATATGGGACAGACACTTCAGAACAAACTTCCTTTAGATTATTTGGGGGGACTATCTGTTGTTCCATGTAGTGAATATGTTATTCAATGCATTGGTATGGGCTAATAGCAATTATATAAATCAAATTATTTTGTAATATATTTTTGGGATACATCAAGGGGTTTTAAAGTTCAAAATCAAATAGCAAAATGATCCTTGGTGTGACCTTCTTAAAACAATTCCATATAGTTTAGTAGAACCCCACCCCCCCTCCCCCGGCTTAGACAGGGCTTAGACTGTTATGGGTTAAAGGGCAATTCCACCACTTTTCAAACTAATTGTCATTATCTCCAGCAGAATACCAGTGTTTTCATATGTGATAACGGCGCATTTCTATGCTTTGTAGAAATAAATATATTCTCCCAGATGACATCATCAAAAGTTACAACATTAAAAAAAAACTGTGATTCTCAAACGCTATGAGATTTGCAGTGATGTGAGTGAGGGGGCAAGAAAATGCCCTCCCTCTGGCTAGGAAATCATTGCCGGTCAATGGGTTTTTTACTTTTAATCCTACCCTGTAATGTCACAGAGAAGCATTTTTTAGGACCTTTCTTCTTATCTTTTTAACCACAGATCATAGAAATGCGTTGTTTTCACATATGTAGACACTGGTTTGGTGCTGGAGATAATGAATATGAGGTTGAAAAGTGGCGGAATTGCCCTTTAATGTATCATTTTATATATCTGTAAGTAATGAGGCAAAAATCTTAAGATATATTTTTGTGCAGCACATGTCTTATGTTGGTGACATTTTACCCTCCCAAGCTTGCACAATGTTGTATATAGCTAGTAGGACAGGAGTTATTATAGGGAAGAGGGCATGGAAAATATTTGTATATGATAACAATGATTCAACTGGGAGTCTCTTTAGTCTTCCTGAAGAACCGACCTACAAACACATCTGATAAAGTATTTATAACATTTCTCAATCTTACAGTATAAAGCTGGCACACTTTGCATTTTATATCTAATACATAGATATGTCAAATATAACACCAAAAATTCAGAGTGAGTGTTTAGGGTAATATTATGGAATCACTATTTTTTATCGAATCGATAACATTTTGATTATGATGTACATAATTGGTACTGAATTTTCAATTTGACATTTTGGTCAGACAATATGAACATTGTCAATGTCAATGTCTATCTATCAATGCATTTAGGTGGTTGTCAATTTTGGATACAATTATATTCAGAATTCACCTACATGGCAAGTTGGACAATGAAAGAATACAAGAGGCCGTACATTTCTTGGAGCAAATCAGTGGACTTTTATAAATCACAAATATTATATACTATACAGTGGGGAGAACAAGCATTTGATACACTGCCGATTTTGCAGGTTTTCCTACTTACAAAGCATGTAGAAGTCTTTTTATCATAGGTACACTTCAACTGTGAGAGACGGAATCTAAAACAAAAATCCAGAAATCACATTGTATGATTTTTAAGTAATTAATTTGCATTTTATTGCATGACATAAGTATTTGATCACCTACCAACCAGTAAGAATTCCGGCTCTCACAGACCTGTTCGTTTTTCTTTAAGAAGCCCTCCTGTTCTCCACTCATTACCTGTATTAACTGCGCCTGTTTGAACTCGTTACCTGTATAAAAGACACCTGTCCACACACTCAATCAAACAGACTCCAACCTCTCCACAATGGCCAAGACCAGAGAGCTGTGTAAGGACATCAGGGATAAAATTGTAGACCTGCACAAGGCTGGGATGGGCTACAGGACAATAGGCAAGCAGCTTGGTGAGAAGGCAACAACTGTTGGCGCAATTATTAGAAAATGGAAGAAGTTCAAGATGACGGTCAATCACCCTCGATCTGGGGTTCCATGCAAGATCTCACCTTGTGGGGCATCAATGATCATGAGGAAGGTGAGGGATCAGCCCAGAACTACACGACAGGACCTGGTCAATGACCTGAAGAGAGCTGGGACCACAGTCTCAAAGAAAACCATTAGTAACACACTACGCCGTCATGGATTAAAATCCTGCAGCGCACGCAAGGTCCCCCTGCTCAAGCCAGCGCATGTCCAGGCCCATCTGAAGTTTGCCAATGACCATCTGGATGATCCAGAGGAGGAATGGAAGAAGGTCATGTGGTCTGATGAGACAAAAATAGAGCTTTTTGGTCTAAACTCCACTCGACGTGTTTGAAGGAAGAAGAAGGATGAGTACAACCCCAAGAACACCATCCCAACCGTGAAGCATGGAGGCGGAAACATCATTCTTTGGGGATGCTTTTCTGCAAAGGGGACAGGACGACTGCACCGTATTGAGGGGAGGATGGATGGGGCCATGTATCGCGAGATCTTGGCCAACAACCTCCTTCCCTCAGTAAGAGCATTGAAGATGGGTCATGGCTGGGTCTTCCAGCATGACAACGACCCGAATCACACAGCCAGGGCAACTAAGGAGTGGCTCGGTAAGAAGCATCTCAAGGTCCTGGAGTGGCCTAGCTAGTCTCCAGACCTGAACCCAATAGAAAATCTTTGGAGGGAGCTGAAAGTCCGTATTGCCCAGCGACAGCCCCGAAACCTGAAGGATCTGGAGAAGGTCTGTATGGAGGAGTGGGCCAAAATCCCTGCTGCAGTGTGTGCAAACCTGGTCAAGACCTACAGGCAACGTATGATCTCTGTAATTGCAAACAAAGGTTTCTGTACCAAATGTTAAGTTCTGCTTTTCTGATGTATCAAATACTTATGTCATGCAATAAAATGCAAATTAATTACTTAAAAATCATACAATGTGATTTTCTGGATTTTTGTTTTAGATTCCGTCTCTCACAGTTGAAGTGTACCTATGATAAAAATTACAGACCTCTACATGCTTTGTAAGTAGGAAAACCTGCAAAATCGGCAGTGTATCAAATACTTGTTCTCCCCACTGTATGTATATTCATATATCACTGTATAAAACGTTTAAAGCTGTGAACAGACAGGTATTGTAAGTCTAATGCAAGTTGTTCTGTGGTCAATAATTTTAATTGGGGCATCTGCTATTAATAATCTCTATTTCCCTAGCTACCAATTTAAAATATATACAGTACCAGTCAAATGTTTGGACACACCTACTCATTCAAGGGTTTTCTATATTTTTACTATTTTTTATATTGTAGAATAATAGTGAAGACATCAAAACTACGAAATAACACATATGGAATAACGTAGTAACAAAAAAGTGTTAAACAAATCAAAATATATTTTATATTTGAGATTCTTCAAAGTAGCCACCCTTTGCCTTGTTGACAGCTTTGCACACTCTTGGCATTCCCTCAACCAGCTTCATGAGGTAGTCACCTGTAATGCATTTCAATTAACAGGTGTGCCTTGTTAAATGTTAATTTATGGGATTTCTTTCCTTCTTAATGTGTTTGAGCCAATCAGTTGTGTTGTGACAAGGTAGGAGGGGTATACAGAAGATAGCCCTATTTGATAAAAGACCAAGTCCATATTATGGCAAGAACAGCTCAAATAAGCAAAGAGAAACGACAGTCCATCATTACTTTAAGACAAGGTCAGTCAATCCGGAAAACTTCAAGAACTTTGAAAGTTTCTTGAAGTACAGTCGCAAAAACCATCAAGCAATATGATGAAACTGACTCTCATGAGGACTTTATTTTTACTATATTTTACATTGTAGAATTATATTGAAGACATCAAAACTATGAAATAACACATATGGAATCATGTAGTAACCAAAAAAGTGTTAATCAAATCAAAATATATTTAGATTTAGATTTTTCAAATAGCCACCATTTGCCTTGATGACAGCTTTGCACACT